ACAGGACAGACGGCAGTGCGATACAGGACAGACGGCAGTGCGATACAGGACAGACGGCAGTGCGATACAGAACAGACAGCAGTGCGATACAGGACAGACATCAGTGCAGTAAAAGAGAAAATGACAGTAAATATAAGCAATATAAGTATATAATGAGTGAACAGTAAATAAGTAATAAATGTGATGCAGTAGCAGCTGTCTGACCCGCACTGTAGCTAGACTCACTCCAGCACTGTACAGATTCCTGTTTATAACCATCGGCTGTACATGAGATGTACAGTTTTCTGCTTGTTCCTTCCTTTGGTTTTCGGCAGCCCTTTGGTTCCGAGTCCCTCGCCAATCGAGCCGCCTACCCCCGGGGCAGCTGGGGCCCCCGCATTAAATGCACTGTGATGTCTGACCCCCGCGTGACCTCCAGCTCGGCCCGACGGCGGCCTTTTTGATGTCGATGCTCCAGTCAGACATGAAAAGCGGAGGAACGGGGCGGCCTCACGCCGCGAAGACTTTGACTTCGAGTAAATAACCTCAAAGCGGGTCCGCACGTTGTAAAGTTCTCGCCGTCCCTCAAAGCCCGTGCGCATGAGACTGAATGTTCTCGTTTCCGTTTACGGTCGGTAACTGGAGCAGCGACCCCCGCAGCCCCCTGTAGGCTGCTCCCGTTCGGCTTCAACACTGACTTTCACTCTCTGCACGCGCACCTGGCCCGTCTCCAGCTCCCCTGGTCCCCGGCTCATTTTCTCCATCCTCACAGTCTTTCACTATCAACGGTGTTGAGCAGAACCCATTCCGGGTGATGATTAATGAAAAGACTTCAACTTAAATAAAACGCGACATCTGTCTATACCTGCGAAACATCACTACTTTCATAAGAACTTGCAGGTCGACGACTATGTCACTTGCTGGCCTGGACGGTGGGATTAATTTGCATTTGTTATTCAGTCAGATGGCGTTTGCACGCTCTCCCCTTGTCTGCGTGCATATCCGCCTGGGACTCTGGTTTCCTCCCATGGTCCAATAGCGTGCAGGGCAGGCTGATTGGCGAGTCTAAATTGCCCATGTAATTGTGTGAGTATTTGTGTGAGTGTGTTTGCACCCTGTGTTGTGTTGCCGACTGCCCAGAGTTGGCTCCCGCCTGCACCCCTTGTTCCTGGGATAGGCTCTGGTCCCCCGTTCAATCCCAGTTGGGATTAAGCGGCTACAGTGATGGATAGACCCAGGTAGCATTCCCATATGGGGCCCATATGGGAAAGACATGGGCCATCTGGGCTGGCCCAGCTCACATTTTACCCATGTGGGGCCCATATGGGCCAACCCACATGGGCCCCATATTTTGGCCCACATTAAGCCCATATGGGGCCCATGTGGGAATGCTACCTGGGGATGGATGGATGGATTCAGTCAGATGAGGGCAGTTACATCTGAACATACATTCAGTGGCAGTGATAACCTCTCAAACCACACATTTGTGTGGGGCCCCTGATGTTTGGGGGCCCCCTGTTGGCCACAAACAGTCACTACAAAAAACATTAAACACATTCTTATTTAGAAGATTCTGAATCGGCATGTTCTCCAAACCGGGAGCTATTTGTTTAGCTTTTGAAACACTGTGGGGAGTGCGGGGGTGGGAGTGACTTTTTCAGTGGGCCTGGAAGCAGCAAACCCTGCCCTGCTTTCCTACCTGTGAAAAGTGGGTAATCGAGGAGAGACGCACGCGACACCCCCAGCCTGCGAACGCTGCGCAGGTCTGTCGCCGTGCGATAATTCAGCTGGAAGGGTTAATGACTCCCGCTGACCTGCGGGCTGCTTTCTGCACGCCGATCCGGCGAGAAGCTGCCTCGTTACAGTACGCCTCTGACTGCCTCTGACTGCCTCTGACTGCCTCTGACTGCCAGTCTTTAGCGGAGCGCCGACTTGAGATCGAGAGAAGCCCTCTCAATTCACCCTCTCCATCCCTGGCTGAATGTTAAGACACGGGGACCGCCGCCTCATCACGAAAAGACCGGGCGGTTTAGTCCGTTCTTCACGAGTTTGAGACTTTCATGTTGAAACTCCCATTTTCTGGACATCCAGATTTTGCTGAGTTCAATGAGGGAGAGGCTTGAACCTCTGTGAACAGACGGTTACCAGTTTAAGCCTGGTTTTTATTTGAATTATTATTATTATTATTATTATTATTATTATTATTATTATTAACAAATAAACACACTCCCTTACATTGCTCCATACAGCCCTTGCAGGTAAACATGTTCTTATATTTTGTATTCATGTCCTTTAACAAACGGCTCACACAATAAACTTTACAAATCTGTGCACCTTGCTGCTTAACAGAAAACACTGGTTTTAATTAGGTGGTGATGTCATACAATGAAGGTTAAAGAAGCGCAACGCAAACCCTTCTCTTGTTGACCCAGGGACACGTCAAACTTGGCAAGATCAGGATGTGCCGCGTTTTCTCTCAATGTTCATCTGCATTGCAGGAGATTTTTGTTCAAAGCAACTGAGGTTTGATTTTTGGGATCGGAACCCACGGCTGCCCTGTCCTGAGAGCATTCAGCTAACAGTCACGCAGTATGGTCCAAATCTGGGGGGGGACGGGGGGCGGGGGGTGAGCGCGAGGGCAACCGCCACCCCTCACGGTGACAGCAGTGCCACACACATCTGTTTATGGGACAGCATTGCCAATAGGGCCCGACGTTCATGCTCTAAACAGCCTGAAACTACGTGACACATGGATAAGGATTCAAACAAAAATGAAACGACAAAGCAAAACACAACAACGTTTATGTTTGAGCATAAAAAACCTCCAGAGTGATTGCCCATCTAATGAGAAAAAGCTCCAGAGTGATTGCCCTTCTAATGAGAAAAAGCTCCAGAGTGATTGCCCTTCTAATGAGAAAATAGGTTCAGTATCCTTAAAGACAGTAGTGATCCCACCCTTCCGCGCATCATTTTTTGCTTGCAAGTAATGCCTCTCTTTTCTGCAGTGCCAGCCGCTCCTGGGCCATGGATTCGTCTTGGACAAATACCGTTGTCACTGCAGGAATGGGTTCTACCATCCTAGTAGGCTGCCTGCCAACGGTGATGAAAGTAAGTTTCATTTTTAATTTGCATTGTTATTAATATTATTCAAAGTGAATTCAACTTCAAGCCACCAAGAGCTGGAGAAGCATAAAAGGCAGGTCTTCAAAGGGGCTGGCAGCTTAGCCCGTCAGCCACGTCACTGGCAACGAGGGCTCGACCTTCGCAGATGTACCTCTGAAGGGAGATCATGGTTTAAATCCCCCACCCCGCCTCATCGCGTTCTTTTTCAGGCAAGTTCGTGCGTGTAAATTTGGCCATGAGTTTGAAGTCTTCCACCAGAAATCGCAATACTGTATTTGCACTTGGAGGGATGTCATTTATGGAAGACTTAGTATTAGATGCTGTCAAAATTGATCTTGTCTCGTGATCATGTATTCGGCATTCAAGTCAAGTCAAGAGTTGTATTTGTTGCTATTTATATGTATACAGTACAGGGCAAACAGTGAAATTCCAGGCTGCACTGTGCAATTAAAGAAACAAATATGGCATATAGAGATATTGCATATAGAACCTAAATATATTTACATGTGGGACAATATGTCCCACATGTAAATATATGTAAGGTATGTAATATATATGTAATATAATAATAATAGATACTTTTATTGATCCCCACGGGGAAATTCTCTTTATGCCTCCCCCAGCTTGCTCTCTCTAGGTGAGAGCAGGCTGGCTGCGAAGGGCAGCCACCCATAGCAGCGCCCAGGGAGCTGGGGGTTATGGGTCTCGTTCAAGGACCCACAGACGTGCCGAGGCCGGGTTCGAAATGGTGAAGTTTTGAGCACAGACACAGAGGCTTAGCCCACTGAGCCACAAACAACGTGCATGTATTATAGAACGTATTGTAAACTAGCTAGACATGTAAAAATCCCTTCAGATTCAATCAGATATGGAAAAACAGACACTTGACACGGCCGGTGAACTGGACTGCTGGTCTGGCAGGGGTCACGGGTTTATAACACCTAGGTGCTCAAACGGGCAAAACGGTACCATTGCTTGGATTAAAGTACTGGCAAGGATGCAAGATGGGATGGGCGTCTTTTAACTGGTTGCCGCGGAGATACTCCCCCTCCCCCCCCTTTTTTTTTCCCTGA